TTTTAACGGAAAAGTTTTTCCGTTAAAAGCATTTGTGGAAAAGAGCGTCTAGATTGGCACGGACGCCTTTCCGCAAAAGAACTTTTTGCAGAAAAGCATCCATGCCAATCTAGACGCGCTTTTCCGCAAAAAAGCCCCAATCGCCATTTTTGCGATCGGGGCTTTTTTGTGGAAAACAAATCTGAGCTGTCTACACTGGCCTTTTTGCACAAAAGTTTTGCACAAAAGGGACTTTTGCCTGAATGGGAGCAGAATAGTTTTTCCGCAAGAAGCATTGATTTCTTACAGTAGGAAGTCAGTGCTTTTGCAGAAATTCAAGTGGCCAGTGTAGACAGCTGGCAAGAATTTCCAGAAAAGCAGCTGATTTTCCAGAAAAACTGGCCAGTCTAGACACAGCCTAGGAGTATGTCTAGACTACATGCCTCTGCCGACAGAGGAATGTAAATTAGACTACCTGACATAGTCAATGAAACGGGGATTTAAATATCCCCCACTTCATTAAAATAAAAATGGCCGCTGCGCTGTGCCGGCTCAGCTGATCTTCAGCACAGCGTGCGAGTCAAGACATGGATTGGTCGACAGGGAACGCCTTTGTTGACCGCTCCTGTAAACCTCATTTCACGAGGTGTAAGAGAGCGGTTGACAAAGGCGTTCTCTGTTGACCGATCCGTGTCTTGACTGCCTCCTGTGGCAACAATCAGCTGAGCTGGCACAGCGTGGTGGCCATTTTTATTTTAACGAAGTGGGGGATATTTAAATCCCCGCTTCATTAATTATGTCGGGTAGTCTAATTTACATTCCTCTGTCGGCAGAGGCATGCAGTCTAGACATACTCTAGGGGTGACAAATGCCGCCCCATAGATTCAAAAAATATCACAGTGAACCAAACTCCACTGTAGCTCTTTTGCAGCAAATACAGCTGGAAGAGCACTTGCCTATATCCAAAGTGGTAGGGGTGTGGAGTCCTGCCCTCGTAGCAGAAACAATTCTTGGCCCTGCCTCTATCAGTTGGTGAGTCCTCGGGGCCAGTATTGCCAATTGTGCAAGAAATGTATCCTACAAATTTTCGAACAACAATTAGGTTAAAACATCTTGATTATTTCTTACCATGCCAAAAGAATATGTCTATTTCTACCAAATACTTAGTTTTGCTTCTTTTCTAAACCACACTCCTCTGGCACTTTTTTTTACAGGGTGCTTAATAGTTTTTTGTATCTGCTTGCAAATAAACTAACAGCTGATTGTATTGCCCTTTTGGATATTAACCTAGACACTTTGGCTACGTCTACACTGGCCCCTTTTCCGGGAGGGGCATGTTAATTTCAGCTATCGTAGTAAGGAAATCCGTGGGGGATTTAAATATCCCCCGCGGCATTTAAATAAAAATGTCCGCCGCTTTTTTCCGGCTTTTAGAAAAGCCGGAAAAGAGCGTCTACACTGGCCCCGATCCTCCGGAAAAGGGCGCTTTTTCCGGAGGATCGGGGCCAGTGTAGACGCTCTTTTCCGGCTTTTCTAAAAGCCGGAAAAAAGCGGCGGACATTTTTATTTAAATGCCGCGGGGGATATTTAAATCCCCCGCGGATTTCCCTACTACGATAGCTGAAATTAACATGCCCCTTCCGGAAAAGGGGCCAGTGTAGAGGTAGCCATAATGTCTTCTCAGAATTGTCCAATTTGTCCTCCACTAGAGTAAAATTGCTTATGCTACAGCCACAGCTGTTATCGTTGCTTAAAATCATACACATCTATTTCAACCAGGACAATCTCTTTGGTTGGAGTGAATATTTTGCAGTATAGTCTACCATGTTTGAGGGCAGACTCTGGTCATATAAAATGGCATTTAGTAAACTGCCATCCTCATATTTTGAATCTTACATATTACTAAATTCATGGTAAAAAGATGCTTCAACTACAGTATTATTTATTAGCAGACATGTGTACTGTGAACTTTAACTCAATGGATGTGTGCCAACCAGATACTTGTAGTCAGATTCTTTGTGCCAGAAAGTGGTCACGTCAGCTGGCATTGGTCCAATTATTGCAGTTCAATCTACTAATACCAACTTGCACCACTGCTTTAAAAGATTAGTGGAGCCATACTGGGCAAAACATAGCTCCAATGACAAATCTTGGGGGAAATCACTTGAGAGATTTGGTTCACAGAGAAAGCCAGAGAAAAGGGTTTGTTTTTGTTAGGTACAATCAATGCTGAAGGAAGTTTCTTTATTACTTCTGCCACACCCACTAGCTGAACATTGAGACACCTTTCTTGAAAAGCAGTCTTGGAATCAAAATCGAAGCTGGGTACTTGCAGTTCCCTCTGAACCAAACTCTTCCTTGTCCCTATACTACCTCTTGTATTTGGCATATTTCTTCATTGTAAAGGGTAAAGAACTGCAAAAAAATTAACATTAAGGAAACTCCAATTGCACTTAAGTATTTGGCATTTCTGCAGCATGATAAACAGGAATCACATGTGGCAACTCTACCGCAGTGATGCTACACTTAACAGCTGGATTTGGAAGCAGCTCCTACTGCCGAACTTAATAATTTCATGTTGCGATCTTATGCTTTTGGAAATAATGATAAATCAATCAACACTAGCTGCACTGAAATGGACAATTATTTGTAAGTCTAGCAAGACTAGTTTCCTGGTTTACTAGTCATGCAAGCCTAACGGGTCTGAAAACAGATACTGTTCCCCTCTTAGTGAAAATGATTCCACACTTCATGATTTGGGGGGGGGCAATTATTGTAGGTCAGGATTTACTTAAAACACACAAATGACTGGGACTAATATATTAACTACAAGCCACATGGCAAAAAGATCTAAGCTTTCCTAGCTATTTTCTTTGCAATCTATGGCATGTTTACAGTGCACACTTCTTTCAATGGTGTGTAGAATACATTCATGTGTAGCCCCCTAGCATGTATGTGTGTGAGTGCCTTGCCTATGTGCTCTCTGCTTGTCCACGCTGTGCATACCTGCCTACAGCACTCTAGATAGCTTTTAGCAATTTCCCTGCTGGAAAAGACTCCGTAGTGGGGAAAGTCTCTAGATGGGAAAGCAATGGGGAAAAGCTTGAGCCCCACTGTGTAGAACTCAGGAACCAGGTGCGCCATCTTCCCACTGTTGGAGCCTGTCCCCTCTACAGGGAAAGACTCCAGCAGAGGGAGCTGTTGATGTTTTTTCCCCACTGTCTCCCCCCACCCATCAGGGCCATTCATTGACACATGCAGCTACATACTGCAGTGTGGACACAGCAGGCTTTTCACTGCAAGGGTGTGTCTAGACTACATGCCTCCGTCGATAGAGGCATGTAGATTAGACAGATAGACAAAGGGAAATGAAGCTGCGATTTAAATAATCGCGGCTTCATTTAAATTTACATGGCTGCCGCGCTGAGCCGACAAACAGCTGATCAGCTGTTTGTCGGCTCAGCGCGGCAGCCATGTAAATTTAAATGAAGCCGCGATTATTTAAATCGCGGCTTCATTTCCCTTTGCCAAAAAAACAAATCTACATGGCTCTGTCGACGGAGCCATGTAGTTTAGACGTACCCCAAGTGGTGGGTATGGTTGTAATCTACATGGAGCCATTGCCAAGCACTGTGTAAACCCTGCTGGTCAGTGTGAAAAGTACC